ATTCATCAAGAGCAATTATAACCATAGCTGAATGGGTGTTGTGATAATGACAACATCCTTATCATCTTTTTGTTGTGTCACATCTCATTCAATTCGATTAAATAATTTATACAGACAAATATGCTTTAAAAAAAAAGTCAAGAGATTCACGTTTTCATTTTGCCTCTATTAAATGCACGTGCTATAGCAAAAGAAGATAGTTGTCAACCACAAAATTCGACTAAAAAATTAGATTCACGTTTTCATTCCTTTGATCATTTTAAATAGTTTTCTCTTCTATTTCGTGTTAAAAATACAACATTTTTATTTAAATTTTGGAACTAGAAACAATAAAATTGCCTTTGCCTATTCAATTTCAATACCATTTATCTTCCAAATATGAAACCAATCAAAAACTTGTGTGTCTCAGTTTTGTTGTTTCAACCATTTATTTGTCTCCTCCTGATTAATATGGGACTCTACTAAATCCACCCCCTTCGAGGCCTAGCGTCCTTACCGGCATACTGCCTCACACACCGACTCGTATCTTCTTCCATTTGGAGAACAACCTCCTCGCTGGCACATCACCTCAGGCTCTAATACCATTTGTAACAATTCAAGTCCACCACTAGTTAATATTGTCCTCTTTGAGCTTTTACTTAAAACAAGTAGGGTAGAGAAAGGTTTCCACACCCTTTGTTTCGTTCTCCTCCGCAACGGATATGGGATTCAATCTATATATTTGTGAATTTAGGTATAAGTCAATGTCAATACTTTTATATAATAGTTTAGTTATTTAGGTAGGAGGCATATGGGCCAATTGGTTGACTTCAAATCAGAACTTTCACTGGAAATTAAAGGGAAAAATGAAGGAAAGCAATGAATGAAGAACTTTGAAAGTGATTAGCCAAGAAACTCAGATATCATTTCTATGCCTCCTTCTTTTCATATATAAACTATCCTTTTCCATTGACATTCACCAAACTTAAGTTTTTAAATCACCTTTTCCTCTTAATTTCTCGTGGAAAATCGCATTTTGGTCGAAATGTTGGCACGACCCACTTTCTTGGAAACTACAAATATGTTTCTCTTTTACGTCGATATCACTTTTTTATACACTAATTTATTTAACGGTTGACGTTGACTCTATTAATTTTACTTACGACACCACGACTACAAAAGAATCTATTGAACTTATTAGGAAGACTATGGTTTGAGTTTATTAATGTGATACCCTAAGTAAATGAAGGATATATCTGAATGAGAGCAATTCATGGGACAGGACAACCATGAATAAGATGCACTCTCCTTTTCGATAGCTCAATCATAAAAACTTAGAGCAATTTTATGTTAGTTGACTTTTCGGGAATTTTTCTTGAAACTAAATTATTACAATTAGTTATATAGATTTATAGATTAGATTAATTAATTAGTGTTGGCAATAAAGTATATAATTAAATAAAAATAATGGGTTTGATGTACTTAGGGAGGGAATATAAGTGGACTACCCCAAGTTAATGAAATAATAATATTCTATCATTTTCTTTTTATTAAAAAAAATATTTTCATATATTTAATTTAATAAAAATAAATTAATATTCAGTCCTCTTAAATTTTAAATATTAGAATTAGTGGCTATAATTCAATAAAATCGATAAATATGAATAAATTTAAACCCTAAACCATTTAAAAATTAATATAGTTAAAAATTGGGAGTGTAATATTCATATTATATTATATATATATATATATATAAAGCATTGATTCTATTTTTGTGAAGAACAAAGTGTGAAAGATTAATTATTAAAACTAACAAATTTAGGTAGGAGGAGGGGCATATGGGGCCACCAGGTTGACTTATTATTATTATTATTATTCTTATTTAAACATTATATTATCTTTCATTATTTTATACTATATCACTTGGAGAGTGAAACGAATCATTTCTTATTAAAGTATAGAAATGTCTCCAGTTTTAAAAATCGTGAAGCTAACGATGACACGTGGCAAGCTAAAACGGATAATATTTACTCGTGATGGGTTTCAACGGTACCCCAAAAGAGATGGATTGTGGAACTTTATGTCGGTTGAAAAAGTGAATGAAACATTCCTTATTAGAGTGTGGAAACCTGGAGAACAAAACATTCCTTATCTTACAAGGGTGTGAAAACCCCGGAGTGAAGAACGAAACATTCTTTCTAACAAACTCATTTTAAAATCATAGTTGAAATGTTGTTCAAGGTGTATATTACATTTGTTTTATTTAATATTTTTTTAATAAGTCGTTAAAATTATGGCGGGTATTAAACTCTTAGTTGTTAAATATCTCTTCACGAGTACGACACCAAAGACATATGTGGAGCCTATCAACATAGATGTGGGTGTGCACATAGGAGCCTACTAACGCATAGCACGCCCACACATTTCTTTAAACGATTCACACCAATTTAAAATTTTGATAGTGACCCAATCTTGATACCTAATTATATCAAATAAATTTAGGTGATATTAATGGATTGAACTTGCAATTAGGTAGATTTAATGAAAATAATTTTCGACTACTTATTTTTATTTTGAAAATTAGATTAAGAATCGTTATATTTTTTTAATAAATATAAAAAAAATATTATAAAAAATGGTGAAAAAAAATGCTATTTTTTTTTAAAAAAATAACAAAATGATTATCAAACACGGGATAGAAATATAGAATATAATCTCGTCTGTAAATCTGGGAATTTTTAAAATTAAATATTAGATCAACTTATAATTAAAACCACACCAATTTATTATTAAATTTTTTTAATGGTTTTATTTAACATTTATGAAAATATTTTTTTAAAAAAAAAATTAGTGCAATAAAGGAAAGTTTCCAAGAAAAAAAGGGAGGGAATTTTAAATTTATTTAGAAATTTTGTAATAATTTCTATGAATATGTTTAGAAACATTTTTCAATTTAAATTGACCATAATTAAATTTTGTTTCTTTTTCTTTTCTTTTCTTTGACTATTTAAATTGGTATTTTCCATTTAAATTCTTGTGGAAAATTCTTGTTAATTTATTATATTCGTTGAAATATTAAGTAGGTATGACCACCTAAATTTCAAAAAAACTTCAAAGGTTATATTTATAAATTTAATTTATATTAATTTTATATCATCGTTTTTTTAATATATTTTATCTTTACTCACATGTATCTCACGTAAACATACATAAGGTTATCTAATATAGATTGTTTAACTTTGAAGTTTTTATGGTCGAGCCACTAAAAAGACTTTACATTTATCCTCATAATTATTTTCTTTCGAATATGGTCTCAGTTAATTTATGTATCCTCATTTACTCGGATGTCACACTACCTTTAAAAAATAAGTGTGAAATATATCAATCGGGTGAATTTTTTTATAGAAAAAATATAAATTAAAATTTTAAACTTTTTCAATCGTATTGATATTGACACTAATATTGGAATTTTCCATTGAAATATTGTTTAAGGTATGATCAAATATTTATTTTCTCTTAGAAACATTAATAAATTAAATTTATATTAATTAGTTTTTAGAAAATACTAAAATATTATATTATATTTTTTTAATATAAAATATTATTGAATTTATTAGAAAGTTTTATTTAATTCCATTAAAAAAATTTGATCTTAGAAGAACACGACTCTCTACAATGATATGATATTTGTCTACTTTGAGTATAAGCTCTCGTAGCTTTGCTTTGGGTTCTCTAAAAGGTCTCGTACCAATGAGAATAATATTATTTATTATAAATTTACGATCGTTTCCTAAATTAGCAGAACTTTCATCCAACACTCCATCCCATAAAAATAAATATTTTTTTTAATTAAAAACTAGTAATTTAAACCCGATAATCGTTATAATATAAACTAATTGATTGATTAAAAAGACAAGATTTCTAAATTCATATGTTTAATCTTTTATTTTGGCAGGTTTAGTTTTGAAGAAATATTTAAAATAGATAGATTTAGATATAAAATTATGAATTAATTTTGAAAATAAACTACTTAATTATTAATTAATTAAATTAATTAATGGGTTTAATATAATGAGAGAGAGAGAGACGTGTGAACAAAATTTAGATTACAGCTATCACAGTTGTACTAAAGGAAAAAAAAAAAAAACCAAAAAAAAAAAGACAGTTTTTACAAATATAGTTAACACGTGTTGTTTGTCCTTTGTCGTTGACTTTTATTATAAATAAATAACCAAAACTTTATTATTAATAAAAGAAGCATATGGTTAGGTACATATGTAGACTAAGTGTTAGCGAGAACAGTGGGCCACTAGATTGTGAGATCGTACGTTGATTGAAAAGATAAATGAAAGATTATTTATAAAAGTGTGGAAACTTTTCCCCTAACGGACACGATTTAAAAATTTTAAAACTAAAAACGACGAAAAAGTTTGTTGGTAAGAAAAGGACATTTACTTTCATAAATTCCATTTTGGAGTGGTTTGTCACAATTTTGAAGAATTTGTTGATGAGATAATGTTTCAATAAATTCATTTTGTTTGATTATAATTTCTCATAATATAATTCTTTTGTAAATAAGTTTATTTTGGCTTTTGCTTCTCACATTCAATAAAGCAATGACTCATGTTTTGTATTTCCATATTTAAATATTGCATTACAAATATTATAAAAATTATATTTAATTCTTGTTTTTAGTTACAAAAACATTATTCACATTTTATTTTAATTAAGTTATCAAATAATTAATAGTGTGGTGAAAAAATAGGTAATTGGACCAATATTTCTTGTTTGGTTGGGAGACAAATCCGCACCAAATGAAATTTTTAAGAATGAATTTCGTTAAACCAATTCAAACCACAATAAATAAATAAAATAAATAAAATAAATAAAATAAATAAAATAAATAAGAGAAAATACAAAGAAAAAAGTGTGTACATTTCATTGCAATTTCCAGTCGTTTGCCTTCTTCTTTCTGTCTTTCTTTCTTCTTCCTTCCTATAAAGCCTCCGTTTCCACATCGCTTGTTTCTCCACCAGACCTTCTCTCTCTCTCCTGTTTCTTCTCTCTCTAACAGACAAAACTCTGAGCTTTTTTCTTTTTCGTTCTTCATTATTTTCGAAATTATGAATTCCCTTTCCAAATGCGATGCCAACTTTGCGTCTCTTACGCCCATCACCTTCTTGAAGAGAGCGTCCGCGTTCTACGCTGATCGGACTTCCATTATCTACGAAGGAACTAGCTTCACATGGCGCCAGACTTACGAACGCTGCTGCCACCTCGCCTCCTCGCTTTCCCGCCTCAACGTTGTCAAGAACACCGTCGTAAGACCGCTTTCTTCTCGTTTTTTTTTTTCTTCTTCAAATTTAGTGGCAATTGAACATGACTAGTCAGACCAATGGAGAGAAGAAAGATTATTTTCTTAAATTAGTAGACAATGATGGTGCAAAATGATCATGCACCAGATTTTTAACAAAAGCATCCCATTTTGATATTCTCGAAAATTTTGAACCTAGATAGATGTTTAAATTTATTAATAATTTTATTATGTTATTATAGAGATTCATGATGGGTATGAGTTTTAAATTTATTCACAATCTTGGTTCTTGAAGGTGTCGGTGTTGGCGCCCAATGTTCCGGCATTGTATGAGATGCATTTTGCAGTACCCATGGCCGGTGCTATTTTGAACACAATCAACACTCGTCTCGACGTTAGTAACATCGCGTTGATCCTCCGCCATTCTGAGGCGAAGATCCTGTTCGTTGACTACCAATTCATACAAGAAGCCAAAGATGCCCTCCGTCAACTGATGGCGGCGTCCCTCCCGCTTCCATTCGTTGTCGTCATCGATGACATCGATTCTCCCACCGGTGCCCGTTTCGGGGAATTGGAATATGAGCAACTCGTCCACGACGGCGATGTTGGGTTCACTCCGGTGGAGGTTGACGACGAATGGGATTCAATAGCTTTGAATTACACCTCCGGCACAACATCGGCACCGAAGGGCGTGGTGTACAGTCACCGCGGCGCGTATCTCAGTACGCTTAGTCTGGTGATGGGATGGGAAATGGGTAACGCGCCTGTTTATTTGTGGACTTTGCCGATGTTCCATTGTAATGGATGGACCTTCACGTGGGGGATTGCAGCTCGTGGTGGGACTAATGTCTGTATTCGTAATACGACGGCGTTTGATATTTACCGGAATATTAATTTGCATCACGTGACTCACATGTGCTGTGCGCCGATTGTGTTCCGTATCATCCTTGAGGCTAACGGCGGTGAACGGCGGCGATTTGGATGGCTAGTCAATGTGCTGACTGGTGGAGCGCCGCCACCGGCGGCGCTCCTGGAGAAAATGGAGGCTCTTGGGTTTCATATTACTCATGCTTATGGGCTGACGGAGGCCACCGGACCGGCGTTGGTCTGCGAGTGGCAAGAAAAGTGGAATATTCTGCCGGCCGATGAACAAGCCAAGCTTAAAGCTAGACAAGGTATTTTTTTTAATTAATAAATATTTTTGAAAAAAAAAAACGAGAAATTTGAAAATTATAAACAAATACCCAAAATTGGGAAAATTAATTGCACGAAAATTGATATTTATTTCACTCTTTTGCGGATTAGGAATCAGCATTTTGACATTAGCTGACGTGGACGTCAAAAACTTGGAAACAATGGATAGCGTGCCGCACGACGGTCGGACCACCGGCGAGATCGTCCTACGTGGCAGCAGTATAATGAAGGGCTACTTCAAGGATCCGGCAGCCACCGCAAAGGCCTTCCAAAATGGGTGGTTTCTCACCGGCGACGTGGGCGTCATACACCCAGATGGGTATTTGGAGATAAAGGACAGATCGAAGGACGTCATCATCTCAGGCGGTGAGAACATCAGCAGCGTGGAGGTCGAGACGGTGCTGTACCGTCACCCGCAGGTGGCGGAGGCAGCGGTGGTGGCAATGCCACATCCCCGGTGGGGTGAGAGCCCGTGCGCCTTCGTCGTGGTCCACAGCGACAGCGGCAAGGTGAGTGAGGCGGAGATGATTGAATTTTGCCGGAAGAATATGTCGCACTATATGGCGCCGAAGAAGGTGTTGTTCGTGGCGGAGCTTCCCAAGACGTTGACCGGAAAGATTCAGAAGTTCAAACTGAGGGAGCAGGCGAAATTGTTGGTTGCATCTGAGAAACGTGTCTCCGGTGGGAACAAGTCCGGGCGGCACGACGGTGGGCGGCTGCCGGAATACGGTGAGCATGTTATGGCCATGTCACGGCTTTGAGAGGTGCCCCGTTTTGTTGATGTACAATTAAAAATACGTACACCTGATGAAGAATGAGTGGTAGGTAAAAATTGTGTAAAGGTTTAAAACAAATTTGCTTCAAACAACACCTTATTATTACTTCCAACTAATTTTTACATAATTCACTCAAAAATATAAATATTAAAAATAAACCAAACATATAATTCACGAGTATTTTTATTAATTTAATCTAAAATTGAATTAAAAGTCATCGATTAATTACTAAAAATAATTTGTAATTATTTAGAAGATATTTCATAAAAAAATATAGATTTGATTTAGATATTTCAAGAATAAAGATAATATACCTATTTTAAGAGAACGAAAATACCTAATTATTTTAGAAAAAAGATTCAAATATTTTAATATACCTTTCTACAAAATCTCGTGTCATATTTATATTTATATTTTTGTCGCTGAATGACTCATTTGCCCTTCCAACTTAATAATTCAACGGCTCTTAATTCTCACAAATATTTTCAAATTTCGAATTTTTCCTCTGTTTCTCTTTCAAAAAAGTTGCAGCATTTTGAATATGCTTCTCGAACACTGCGCCACCCGTTACGCTTCCCTTTTCTTTTATCCCATTTTCTCTCTCCTCTAATCTCACTTTCAAATCTCAAAATCTCTCTCTCTAGCTCTGTTTCTTCCATTTCCCTATCTCTTTGCAAGATTTCCTGTGTTGGGTCAGCTCAAAATCGCCATTAATCTCTAATGGGTGCTTGTTTGAGCAAAAAGAAGAAGACTTTACCTTCGTTTTCTTCCACCCATGTGCCTCAAGATCCACCCACTTCCTGCAATGCCTTCAAACCCATCATCCCAATTTCTCACCCGCCCGCCGCCATTGATGTGAACAGGGAGAAAACAGAGCAAGAAAATGGGGTGGAGACAGAGTACGCTGTGAGGAAGGAGGTGTTTGTAATTAACCACAGGAAGAGTCATGATGGGAGAGACAAAAATGGAGCCTCTGTTCTTCCAAATGTAGAGGAAATTGGAGGTGTTTTGTCTTCTTCTTCCTGTGAGATTTTGGAATCTGGAGATGTTGGGGAAAATTTGAAGGTGGGGTTGGTTAGAACTTCGAGCTGTACTAGAGAGGAGGTCGACGCCATTTTGATTCAGTGTGGAAGGTTGAGCCGGAGTTCATCTGCTAATGGTAATGGAAGGAAGTATTCTGGTTCGAAAAGAAGCTTTGATTTTGACCATTCTGATAGAGATGGTGTTAATTCTGGAAATTACGGTGATGAAGATGAAGATGGGAAGAATCCCATTTCGGTGGAGGTTGATGACGACGGAACTCCGGCGGAGAAACGCCATAACCAGAGACAGCGCCACCGCCAATCTTCGAGATATTCTCCCTCTCTAGGGAGGAGGAGAACTCCCAGTAGGGAGAGAGATCAGAATCAACGATCCAGTAGCCGGGAGCGGCGTGTTAGCCGGTCGCCTGGCCGACGGTCGGTGGAGCCGTCTGCCTCAAATGGTTCGAATAATGGCGGTGGTATTATTAGACCGGCGAAAATGGTTTCAGTTCCTGCAACAGTCGCTCATTTGGAAATGGACAAGAGCAACAATGTCACTGGTGGTTGTTCTGGCAATGATTCGGCTACTGCGACTGCCGTTAAGAGAATATCGGTTAAACGAAATGTCGGCGAGGCAACCGCCATGGCGGGTTCGAGAGTTGCTTCATCACCTCGCTCACAGTCCCCAGCAAGAATCAATGGACATGTCAAAGTTTCAGACGAAATTCAGCCGCCGCTGCAGCAGCAGCAGCCATCTCTGAGCCGCAGCTCATCAAGAAAAACAGAGCAATCTCCTTATAGAAGAAACCCATTGAGCGAAATCGATACTAATTCACAGCAACACAACAGGATTCAATCTGCTAAAGACACAAACAATGGATCAAACCAGGTACATATTGGAATCAACACACATTTTCTTAATGAATTCAGCTTCTAAATCTCTAAAAAACAGAGTATTTTAATACTGATTGATAATACCTTATAATCTTTCAACCCCAGAAGCCAAAAACAGAGTCCAAAAGTAGCCACAAAGTAGCAGTTTCTCAAGTGAATAGCAGCAAAACAGGCACTCCGGCCACTGCAACAAGAGGGGTTGTGAATATCATCACCTCCACAGCACCACCATTGACAAACACAGAGGGAGTTCTTGCAAGAAGCAGATCAGGAAGGCAATCCAGAGAATTTGACATTAACCCAGAAGTTCTTTTGAATCAAAATCAAACACCATCTTACACCAAGATGTTGCTTCAAGACATTCAAAACTTCCATCAAAAGAATTCGAACTCTGTTTCTCTTCCAGCTTGTGTAACCAAGGCGTGTTCCATTGTTGAAGCAGTTGCTGATCTCAATTCCTCTGCTTTCTCCGAGGATCGAAACAGAGACCCTTTTGATGATATTGTGGAACCAAGCTTCCATAAGTACGTGACTGTGAGAAGGGGAAGCCCTGCTAGAGGGGAAGATACAGAGGATCAAGAATCCTCCGGCAGCAACAGTTTTGTCGGAATTGTTCAACAGCAGCAGCAGCAGCAGTGGGGGAATTCAGCTGCCTCATGGGAACCCAACTCAGCTGATTCAACTGATTCCTCGTGTAGATCAAAAACAGGGGTGGACAGAGACGAGAGCAAGCGGAGAACAGGGGAGAGAAGGAGAGAGTCTGATTGTTCTTCTTCTTCCCGCAGAAGTGGGATTGGGCGTGGCAGAGTTGGTGGGAGTGGCAGTAAAGTTCTTCATACAGTTCCTGTAGCAGCCACTGGTACCAACTGATTTGAATTGTATAGATTCTTGGCTGTGTTTTCATTTGTTTGTGGATTTTTCATCTTCAATTCTTGTTTTCATGCTGTGAAAAGAAGAATTTTAGTGTTCTGAATTTGTGTTCTGTTGCAAACTTGCAACGATTTCTACTGTGTTTGATAACTTCCACTCATTATTAGCAGTAGCTCGGATTACTTGAAGTGTGATATGAACAATAAAGTAGTGCATCCAGTATAAACTTCCCGGGGAATTTCTTTTTATTTCGATGAAGGTTGAAACTGGCCGCGTGAATTTCTAACCATAGGATACTTCATTCGACTTAGGAATTACGACTTGAATACAAAGAACACGAGAAGAAAATGCACACAATTGATCTTGTTAGGAATCATGGCTTCATCATACCAATGAAGAGCCTCCAGAGGCTTGTAAAGCCCAACTGTAGCTGACTCCTTTCCTTTTTGGGAGCCGTTCACTACATGTTCTAGGCCACTTCTTCTTTGTTCGACAGTGGAGAATTTTGTTGACATGAGTTAAGGACATAAGGACATGACTCATACTATGTTAGGAATCCTGACTCTCCACAATAGTATAATATTGTTCATTTTGAGCATAAGCTCTCATGGCTTTGTTTTGAGCTTCCTCAAAATGCCTCATACCAATAAAGATGTATTCTTTATTTATAGACTCATGATCATTCTCTAAATTAACCGACGTGGGACTCCTTCCAACCGTCTTCAAACCGTCCTCATCAGATCTAGATTAATAAAAGAATCGGAGAAAGAAAATACAAGAATATTTTTAAAGCACCGACTATAACTAACCGTATCTATATGGTTCTATTTACGCTTTATCACATATAACGATCTGTTGTATGTCATAAAGATGTTTCTACTAGAGAAAGGTATTTACCCTCCAACCACTTGAAAGGCACGGGTTGTAAACAGAGATAGAAACAAGGTAGACAGATAGAATTTCTCGTTCCCGACTTACTTTTTAGATATGAAATAAGAGACAGAAACAACTAGATTTTGGTTCCCGACTTACATTTTAGAGACATATCTAAGCATAATTTAGGTACCATGAAAGAGGAAAAAACTAAGTAAAGAAGTACACAATCATTTATTGTAAACAGAGATTTTGGTAGCCCATCAAGGGTTGTTGGCGGGAGGATCATAGCCACCCTTCCATGGGAAATCATAGACTGCCGGCTTTGCTGTCAGCGCAGCCTTCTCAACAGATCTATACTCCATGCTCAGCTTACCTGCAAACATATACCCAAAATTAATTACACAGCCCATGGCATGCCTTTAATCAAGAAGAACAAAAACTACTTACGAATATGAGGCTTCTGAAACGAAGCACTGACTTCCGCCGCTGAGACGGTAAAGGCGACCAAAAGCACTGCGAAGAAGAAAAGCAACGCCATTGATATCTTGGGTGAACCCATTATGGTTGCTGTGAGGCTCTCACAGCTATACCAGCACCCTTCTAATTTATACCCAATTTTCAAACCCTTTTCTCTCACTCTCTTCTGGATTTTACGGTCAAAAAGAATCTATGAATCCGCGTGGCCTCATTTGTACTTTTCATGCCTGTCTTCCACTTTCTTCATTTTCCCCCCTAATCTCTCAATCAACTTGCTTATGATTAGTCTCGGGTCATCTTTTTCCAACGCGTGTTGCCTATGCTCGCATATTGGATGTCTCTGTGATGTCCCACATTAGTTGGAAAGGAGAATAAAACACCATTTATAAGGACGTGAAAACCTTCCCCTAACACACGTTTTAAAACCTTGAGGAGAAGCCTAAAGAGACAATATTTGCTAGCTGGATCTAGGTCGTTATAGTCTTAATTATACTTGTTCAAGACGTGTTGTCCATGATCACATAGTTTTTACTATTTCATATTATGACAATAGAGAATGTATGACAGTTCACCAAAACCATGTCTATACAACTAGTTGTCAATTCTTCTAACCCTGAGTTATATATTATTTAAGGTATGATGTTTCTTTATTTGCTTATAAACATATAATGTTGCTTTCTCCAATTCTTTCAAATTGTTTTCAAGCTCACGTTTGTTAAAGTATTTCTCGTAAACATGACTCGAGCATAATCACTGTCTCGATGCCGTAAGTGTGTGATTGTGACACTTAGTAGCTAAAGGTTTGTTTAATAAGTTACTCGTCTTTTGTTTCGTTCATGTTTCTCTTAATTTATCCAATGGTGTAAACGGGTTGATTTATTTATAATAGTCTTACCCAATAATTTTTCCTTTTTTACAAGAGGGTTTTCCTTTTTGACGACCCAACCAAAACTTAAAAAAATAGGG